AATAATAAATAAATAAATAAATAAATAAATAAATAAATAAAAAGGAGCTGGAGAGATGGCTCAGCAGTTAAGAACACTGACTGATCTTACAGAAGACCCAGGTTCGAATCCCAGCATCCACATGGCATCTACAACTGTCCATAATGCCAGTTCCAGGGGACCCGACAGCTTCTTCTGTCCTCTGTGGGCATTGCACAACACGGCAATACACACACATCAAAAAATAAAAATAGGGGCTGGAGAGATGGCTCAGAGGTTAATAGCACTGACTGCTTTTGCAGAGGACCTGGGTTCAATTCCCAGCACCCACATGGTGGATACGAACCGTCCTTAACTCCAGTTTCAGGGGAATCCGAAGCCCTCTTCTGACCTCCGTGGCATTGAACGACACGGGTGCACTCACATACATGCAGGCAATACACTCGTACACATAAAATAATAAAATTTTTTTAAATTTGTGGAAAGTGCTGTCAGTGCGAGAAGAACCAATGTTGAGCATAATCGAGCATCATCAACATGGTGCTTTATGTTATTACTGTGATCCCAGTGTCATCAGGCCATAGAGCTCTGTGGAAATCAGATTCTCTTCCACCTTCTCAATTGAAAGACAATGAGTTTCCTGAGTAACAAAATAAAAGACTCACACATGAGTCCACAACATTACAGCCACCTGATATTTGACAAAGATGCCAAAAAATACACACTAGAGGAAAGACAGCATCTTCAGTAAATGGTGCTGGGGAAACTAGATCTCTACATGTAGAAGAATGAAATTAGAACCATATCTTTCACCCTGCATAAAAATCAACTCCAGGCCTGGCGTGGTGGTGCATTCCTTTAATCCCAGCACTCGGGAGACAGAGGCAGGCGGATCTCTGTAAGTTCAAGGCCAGCCTATCCTACCTAGTGAGTTCTAGGACAGCTGGGGTACAGAGAGACCCTGTCTCAAAAAAGATAATAATAATAATAATAATAATAATAAGAAGAAGAAGAAGAAGAAGAAGAAGAAGAACAACAACAACAACAACAACAACAACAAAGATGCAGCAGCAAATGCTGGGCATGGTGGCACACGTCTTTATTTCCAGCATTTGGGAAGCAGAGGCAGGTAGATCTCTGTGAGCTCAAAGCCAGCCTGGTCTACAAAGCGAGTTCCAGGTCAGCTGGGGCTACAGGGTAAACTACTTTGTTTTTCATAATGTATTGAATAAAAGAATTAAATTAGGGATTGAAGAGATGGCTCAGCAGTTAAATGCACTGGCTGCTCTTGCAGAGAACCAGGGTTCATTTCTCAGCACCTGCATCGCAGCTAACAACCACCTGAAACCCTAGTTCCAGGGGATCCAATGCCCTCTTCTAGCCTCCATGGGCACTGCATGTACATGATATATTTACATATATGCAAGCAAAACATTCATACACATAAAATATAAATATTTTGTTAAAGGAATTAAATTAGGGCTGGAGAGATGGCTTAGCGCTTAAGAGCACTGACTGCTCTTGCAGAGGACCCGGGTTCGATTCCCAGCACCCACATGGCGGCTATGAACCATCCTTAACTTCAGTTCCAGGGGGATCCAAGAGCACTGACTGCTCTTGCAAAGGACCCGGGTTTGATTCCCAGCCCCCACATGGTGGCTACAAACCATCCTTAACTCTAGTTCCAGGGGGATCCCGAAACCCTCTTCTGATCTCCATGGCATTGCACAACACGGGTGCACTCACATACATGCAGGCGATCCCGAAACCCTCTTCTGATCTCCATGGCATTGCATGACACGGGTGCACTCACATACATGCAGGCGATACACTCACTCATACACATAAAATAAAAATAATAAAATATTTTTAAAAAGAATTAAATTAGTTGTCTTATGGTCAGATATTCCTTGCTATAAACTAAAGTCCTTGATGTGGGTGAGAGAAAAAAGGTAGTTGTGCCAGATGTGGAGCTATGTGCCCTTTGCTACATGCCCCAATCACATCTGAGAAGGGTATTTGCTTCTTTATGATAACAAAAACAGGATGCCTGTAGCATCTTGGTTGAGGGATCCTCAGAAATCCTCTTACTAACAATCTGATAGTCCAGATGATGATGCAGGTTCCCAGATGAGGACTTCCAGAGGTCATACAGCCATGAATGGCCATCTTGGGGCTGTCCTGCCTCTGTGGTCAGTGCAGCTGACCCACGCCTGAGCAGCTCACCAAAGGGAGACAGCTTTCATTCCTTCTTTGAAGTGCTCTATCCTCCCAGCAGGGTAGAGACTCTCATGCCTAACCCGTACTTTTCTCAGGTAGAGCCTGAAGGCCTAGGACACGGGGTGGCGGGGGAGGATGAAGGCACCTGACTCCTTCTGGTGCTAGGCTGTGTGGGGGTAAGTAGATGCCATCTGAACATCTGGATGATGCGGGAGCTAGAGGGCTGGTCTGCAAGAGGGTGGAGGGGATCTGTCACATGCAGTCTCAGGCTTACTATCTATATTGCCTTTTGGGGAGGAGCCTTGGTTTGGATACCCAAACTCCAGGACAGATGAGATCAGTGCTTACTTTCCCTCTCCCCTCACAGATTTACACAGAATCTCTTGAAGTTGTTGGTGGTGGTGTGAGTGTGTGTGTGTCTGTGTGTGTGTGTGTGTACGTGTGCATTGAGAACTACTGCCTGTACTCTTCCTCCTCTCAGAGGTCTGGACAGCTGGAGAGGGTACAGTCCCAAAGCTAACTATTTCAGCTTAGTGTCTGTCTACAGACTTCAGAAGCTCTTGTGTTCTCCTCCACCTCTACTTAAGGGAGGCTGAAATTCCACCCTGACTCCACACGAGTTGATCTCTTGAGAGACCAAAGACTCTAGTTTTGGCTTCTTTTCAAGGTGCCCATGATGCTTACTGCCTTCACATTTGTCATCTGTGGGCTCCTGGGCTCCCCTGTGTGTCTCCTTTCCCACAAGCACCAGGCCATGCAGTTCTGCAAAGAAAGGGAGAGAAGACTCCCCAGCTCTCAGCAAAGGAGATAGATATCCGAAGGGAACAAGAAGAAAGAAACCATTGGAAGTTACCTTCTCAAGTTAGACTTCTGAGCCAGAGTCCTCCTGCAGGTTAACTCCTCATGTTTCCAGTGGTAACTGGAAGTGTTCCCTCTCTAGAAATTTGAATTTTACTCCTAGAGAGCAAGATCATACCTGCCAAACTGGCTCCCTTCCCCTTCCTGACACCTGTTCTCACATTGAAGCCTCTGACCCACTGCCCCATTGTCCCAGGATCTTGAGCAATTTCCAGGTTTCCACCAAGAAAACAATGAATAAAAGAAAACAGATCTTTCTCATCCTCTAACCTGGCCATTCCTGGGGTGTCCAAGTTGCAGTGCCTGCAGGAGTGATGTGAGCTGGCTGAGGGCCACTCCATTTGGAGCTTCCCGTTGTCTCCATGTCCTTTTCATTCTCCCAGGACCTAGGGGTTCCCACTGCTGGGTAAAGGAAAGGTTAAACTGGTTGGGCAGGGGAGCTGAGGAACAGTATCTAAAGGGGAACTTTGGTGGCAGAAACAAAGCCAGTGTTTGTTGGATTTTCCTCCTGCCTGGGAGGCTGTAGTCAGACCACGGCATTCCTGGGTTGGACAGAGTCAGCTTACTGTGGTTTCCCCACACTGCTGCAGCCAAAACCCTGCCTTTCCACAGGCCTCTAAGTCCCAACTCAGGAGACCCAGCACTTCACCCTGGCCTGACTCAAAGCACAAAGGCATCAAAAAGAAATTCAAGCTCAAGAGACAGGTCCCTTTCTTTTCCTTTTTGTTTGGGTGCTGGGAACTGAACCCAAGTCCTCTGTAAAAGCAGCCAGTGCTCTTAACTACTAAGTTATTTCTCCAGTCCTCCAATCTCAGGAGGCAGAGGCAGGAGGATCTGTGAGTTCAAGACCAGTCTGGTCTACACAGTAAGTTCCAGGTCAGCTGGGTGCATGTTTGTTTATAAGTACACCCTTGCCAGGTATTGCCCATGAAAGTCAGAGGAGGGTGTCAGAACCCCTGGAACTGGCATTCTGGATAGTTGTTAGCCACCACGTGGGTGCTTGCATTCAAACTCCAGTCCTCCAGAACAGTCAGTGCTCTTTTTTTTTGTTTTGAGACAGGGTCTCCCTGTAGTCCTAGCTGACCTGCAACTGTGTAGACCAACCAGGCTGGCCTTGAACTCACAGAGACCTGCCTGCCTCTGCCTTCTGAGTGCTGGGATTAAAGACATGGGCTACCACACTTCACAAGAACAGCCAGTGCTCTTAACCTGAGTCATCTCTTCATCCTACCAACCGTTTTAATTTCTATCTTATGTTTTGTGTAAATATATCATGTGTGTGATGTCCAGGGAGGTCAGAAGGTATCAGATCCCACAGAACTGAAGTTATATAAGGTTGCTAGCCACCATGTGGGTGCTGGGAACCAAAGCCAGATCTATAAGAATAGCTAACTGTTGGGCCATCTCTCCAGCCCCAGAAGCCATTCTTTTTTTAAAGTAACACTTTTTTTTTTTTTTTTAAATCTGTGTGCCACATGTATGAGGGTGCCTGTGGTGGCCAGAAAAGGGCACTGGAGTCGCTGGAGCTAGAGTTAAGGCAATTGTGAGCTGCCCAACACGGGTACTACGTCTGAGCTTGGGTCCTCTAAAAGAGCAAGCAGTATGTGCTCTTAACTGATGAGCCATCTCTTGTGGAAAGGGAGCTAGAATCAGACATAAGAGCTAGTTCTAGAAAGGTTGGTAAACAGATCAGGACTGTCAGGTCCCAGAGCTGCTGCTGCTCTGCAGGCCATCCCATGGAAAAAGCTGACAGGAGGGAAGGTTTAGGCTTGTGTGGTGACTTATACAAACTCACAGAGTAAACACGACAGCAGCAAGACTCAAAAGGGGACAGGTAGCTCCATGAGAACAGATGTTCACCCTGTGGCCAGGAGAGAAGTCTACTGGCCTGCCCAGGCACTAGGGCCTCAGAAACCACCTCTCTGTTCACAGCAAGACAAACATCAGTGTGGCATTTGTTTTTATTAGAAAATCCTTTCAGTAAGCACTTCCCTAACCCAGGCAGAGCGTGCGTAGCATTGAGTTCTACAGCTTTCATTTCATCTTCTGCCCATTTGAGAGGAGATGCCAAGGGATGTGGGTATGTCAAGCAGTGTCCAAAGGGCCTCTTCTGGACCCCCGAGAGTTCATACTGCCAGTAATATACCAACAGCACCTCAGTGGGACCCTCTAGCCCCAAGACCGTGGCTGAAGGCAGTCCTGTTATATGGCTTCGGTGGAAACAAGGAGGCTCCCACAGACTCCCAGGCCTGCTCTGGCACTCTGGTTGAGTTCAGGATAGGATCCAAGACAAGACGTCTGTGGGCCAAGGGCAAAGAAATAGCCTCTGGAGTCTGAGAAGCACCTGTGTATTGGAAGAAGGGCTGTGGAAGCCTGTTCAGTTCTTCTTGGGTTTGGGAGTGTCGTATTTCCTCTTACTGGAATACCACAAGAGCAGGGGGATGCCGATGGAGGGCAAAGTCATGACCCCAAAGGCTGCCCAGTCCAGCTGTGGAGGAAAATCAAGGGCTTGCTTAGAAATCTGGTTGCAGATATAGGAGAGAACAGGGAAGGGAAAGAAAGGAGCAGCAGAGCCCCTCTATAAATCCTGACACAAAATAGCTGTCTAAAGACCTTTCAAGGTGTGAAGTCAAAGCCTCACCCGACTCAGTTTAGAGACACTATTTGAGAAAAGGAGAGCTGAGGTCTGCTGCTTTGACCTCGGACTCTCTCCTCCATCCTCCTACCCTCCTTCTGCCTGCTAATCGGGATAAACCACTTACCATTCACATCACACCTTTTCTCACACCTGAGCTGCCCTGAAAACTGCCCTTCCTCACTTCTTATTTGACAGATAAAACCTTTTGTTCTCAAAGGTGGGCACATTGCTACTTCTGGCTCCTCCAGGACCGTGTAAAACCTGACCACAGCACTTTTCCTCACTTCCTTATTGAGTCATTGATGAGCTCAGCCAGATTAATTTTTTTCTTTTTGGTTGAGATAGGGTCTCATGTAATCCAGGCTGGCCTTCAAACTGGCTATGTAGCCAAGAATGACCTTGAACTTTTGATCCTCCTACCTCTATTCCCAAGTTAGGGATGCCACTACACCTTGTTTTATACAGTACTGGGGATTAAACCCAAAGCCTTGTTTACACTAGGCAAAGACTATACCATCTGAGCTATATCCTTGTCCCCCAGACAATCTTTTAATGGGAAAGACTGTGTCTTATTGACCATTGTTTTCCCCAAGTGAAGCACCAAATGAGCACATAATAGGGAGCTTTTGAATGAATGGGATGGATTTCCTCATTCAGTATTCAGCCAACTCTGCAAAACATTCTCTTAAGCGAGGTGTGGTGGTACATGCCTTTAGTCCCAGCACTTGGGAGGCAGAGGCAGGAGGATCTCTGTGAGTTCTGTAGGCTAGCCTGGTGTGCATAGTGAGTCCCAGGCCAGCTGGTGCTACAGGGAGACCCTGTCTCAAAAAGATCAAAAACAGCCGGGCGTGGTGGCACACACCTTTAGTCCCAGCACTCGGGAGGCAGAAGCAGGCGGATCTTTTGAGTTCAAGGCCAGCCTGGTCTACACAGTGAGTTCCAGGACAAGTTTGAGGCCAGAAAAAAAAAAAAAAAAAAAAAAAAAAAAAAAAAAATCAAAAACAAAAACAAAGTCCCAATGCTCACTGAATCTAGGCAGACACCCAAGCCTCCAAGCAAACAGAACTCTAAGACAGAGTTCTACTCAGGCTGAGGCAGAGGAAAAGACCAATTTTATGATGCTGGCTACTGTCATCTCACTGACAAAAATCTGGGCACAAATCAAGAATATGTGATAGTGTTCTCTCTCTGTGTCACACACACACACACACACACCAAAAAACAGACAAACCAACTAATTTTCTAAGGAGACTAAATTTCCAGAACCAAAGGATGTTCTTCCACCAGGGGAAGGAGAAACAAACCAGAAAGGCTTACAAAATGGGGGGAGAATCTCCTGTCAAACTCCCGCTGAGCCAGGATCCCTCCCTGTCCAGGTGCACTGGTGGAGCCAATCTACAAAGAAAGGAAAGGCATTAAGGCAAGCTTCAAAGTCACCTCATCTGGGAACGGGCAGGCACAAACAACACAGCTCTAAACACGAGGCTTAGTTACCAATACGTACAAAAATGCTCAAGCAGTAGAGTGCCTGCACAGCACACGGGGCCTGGAGTACAAAACGAAAGGAAAAGACAAGACAGACAGAAAAGCTGGTGAACTCGAACTAGAGAAAGAGTTCATGGTTTCCTTAATGTATTAGGAAGACCGAATTAGGAGCCAGGAGAGCTGAACTACCACATAATGGGGCTTGCCACAGAATGACAGAATGAACATTTATTAAACAGGGAAGGCCAGCTATGCAAGTGAAATCAAAGCTTAATCCATCAAGGCTTGGGGTCCCACATGGTAGAGCACACCTTTAATCCCAGCACTTGAGAGGCAGAGGCAGGTGGATCTCTCTGAGAACAAGACCAGTCTGGTCTCCAAAGGGAGTTCCAGGCCTGTCAGGTCTACAAGGAGACCTTATCGCAAAAACAAAGCAAAATAAAACCCCCCAAAACTCAGGCTTCACCTCTGTCTGCAAGATAGGTACATAATGGAGTTAATTTGTCCTTGGTAATCATTTACTTATTCCTCAACTCAAAGTAGTGTTTTCTACTTCACAGGACTGATCTGAGACTCAAATGAAGTAATAAGAAGGCCTCTAAAAACTGTAAAGCCCCACCCAAATGTACGTTATTGGAGAAGGACTGAGGCTGCTCCACATTCCTTTGATTTGAAGAGGGGCCAAGAGTTTGGAGGACATTGTAAACAATTTTGTTCTTAGGTGGCAGCTAAGCCTTTGATTTGTGTCTCTATTAACCCACCAAGCACCAGGAGTACTGGACACAGTGGACCATACTTGCAATCCCAGCACTTGGGAGATGGAGGCAGGAAGATGGAAGATCAGAAGTTCAAGACCAGTCTCCCTTACATATTGTGAATTTGAGGAAGCCTTTGTCTCAAAAAGACCAAAAAAAGGAAAAAAAGAATGAGTATGTGTGTGTGTATATATATATGTATGTATGTATTTTATTTATTATTTTTATTTTATGTGTATGAGTGTATTGCCTGCATGTAGGTAAGTGCACCTGTGTCATGCAATGCCCAAGGAGGACATTAAGAGGCTGTTGAATCCCCTGGAACTGGAGTTACAGACAGTTGTTAGCTGCCGTGTGGGTGCTGGGATTCGAACCTGGGTCTTCTGCAAGAACAACCAGTGTTCTTAACCACTGAGCCATCTCTCTACCCCCCAAGTAAATATTTTTTTAACAAAAGGAAGGAGAGGCTGGAGTGATGGCTCAGCAGTTAGGAATGCTGGCTGTTCTTGTGAAGATTCAGGTTTGAGAATCCCAGCATCCACATGCTGGCTAACAACTGACCATAACTCCAGTTCCAGGGGCCTCTTCTCATCTCCACAGGCATTGTACAATGTACACTTGAGGCCAGCCTCATCTACATAGTGAGTTCCAGTCAGCTGGGGTTACTGGGAGATCCTGTCTCAAAAAGACAAAAAAAAAAAAAAAAAAAAAAAAAAAGGGAAGGAGGGGTTGTAGGGGAGAAGTAGGACATTTATCCACAACAGAAAATCCAAAAATATGTATTTCAATGATAGAATTCAAGAGAGGCCAAACTGGACTACCACACACACACACAAACACACCACTAATAATAACAAAAACTGTTCTATCCTTCAGAAAGCTGGAAAGACAAAAGGCTATTAGAAGGGGGTACAATGACAGGTGGAAAAGCTTGGCCTGTAAGCAACAAGCAGGACATTCTAAGCAAGGGCAAGATGGTAAGAGTGGGTCCTGGGAAGGCAACTAGAAGTGGCCAGAACAAGAAATTGGGCAGCAAATGGTGCATGCAGGAATAAAGGGGAGATGCTATGTCAGTCATCTCCCATCCATTTCAACCACTCAATTCTTGAAATTTACAATTGGAATCTTATTTCTTTTAAGATTTTATTATTTTTATTTTATTGAATGATTGTATTGTCTGGATGTATGTAAATGCACCGGTGTCATGCAATGCCTGTGGAGGTCAGTAGAGGGTGTTGCATTCCTCTGCAACTGGAGTAAGGGATAGCTGTTAGCGCGTGCCATATGGGTGCTGGGAATCGAACAGCCAGTGCCCTTAACTGCTGAGTCCAGAATCATACTTCTTTAGAACAATACCAGGTTGATAGTTAACTCTTCCTTAGAATTTAGCAGCCATTGTGGACATTTTCTGCAAGAGTGTTTTTTTGAGGCAGGGTCTCCCTGTAGCCCTAGCTGTCCTGGAACTATGTAGACCAGGCTGGCCTTGAACTCACAGAGAAGCCTCCCTCTGCCTCCCAAGTGCTGGGATTAAAGGCGTGCACCACCACGCCTGGCTTCTGCAAGAGTTTTTAAGGGAAGGCAATAGCCAGGTATGGTAATATATGTCTATAATCCCATCTGGATTATATAGCAAGTACCAGGCCAGTCGGGGGGGACCATAGCAAGATTTTGTCTCAAAAACCAAACCAGGGACTGGAGAGATGGCTCACTGGTTAAGAGCTTTTCAGTACCCACATTAGGTGGCTCACAACTGCCTGTAACTCTAGCTTCAGGGGAACTGATGCCACCTGCTCATAAACACACGCTAATACACACACACACACACACACACACACACACAAATAAAAACATCTTAAAAGTCAACAAACCAAACAAAGAGCTTTTAAGGAAAGGCAAATATGAGCCCCACCCAGCTCAAGATTTGAGCAACTTACCACAACAGGTCCATCCTCCTGGGTCAGGTAAGTAATCGTGGCTGAAGTGAAGTTGAAGTAACCAGCCTTAAGAGGGCGCAGGACCACGGTATGGGAGACATTGCTGGCACTGGCCCAAGGGTTAAGGAAGTCAAAAAGGTGATGAAACTAAAACGGTAACCACATTTCAATTCCTGGACTACATGCCCCATCCACACAACAGAACGCAGTGACTTCATATCTGCCATATTCTACAGGAGTGAAAAATACAGAGCTTTTAAAAGTCTAGTATGGAGGGCTGGAGAGATGGCTGAGCAGTTAAGAACACTGGCTGTTCTTGCAGATGACCCGGGTTCGAATCCCAGCACCCACAAGGCAGCTAACAGCTGTCTGTAACTCCAGTCCCAGGGGATCCGACAGCCTCTTCTGACCTCCTTGGGCACTGCACGACATGGATGCACTTACCTACATGCAGGCAATACACGCATACACATTAAAAAAAATAAAAAGTCTAGCGTGGCTGAGCATGGTGGCAAACACCTTTAACCCCAGCACTTGAAAAGCAGAGGTACGCAGATCTTTGAGTCTGAGGCCAACTTGGTCTACTGGTCTACAAGCAAGTTATAGACCAGTAATGGTGATACAGTGAGACAAAAAAATAAAAAAGTCTAGTATGTGATATAATATGCTAATTAAAATTTAACAGGGTCTCAGCCGGGCATTTGAGAAACAGAGGCAGGTGGATCTCTGTAAGCTTGAGGCCAGCCTGGTCTACATAGAGGTCCAGGTCAGCTGGGAGAGCTTGTCTCAAAAAGACCAAAAAAACCTCATTCTATCCAAGGCTAGCCTCAAATTCATGGTGATCCTCTTGCCTCAGGTTTCCCAACTCAGGGATTACAGGCATGGAATACCACGCACAGCTAATCATATGCTAAATTTAATGGATTCATGATACTCAGTATCCAGAATTTTTTAAGTAATTTTACAAAAAAAAATTTACAATTCACTACGCTCGTAGAAAATATTTCAATGATTAAAAAAATTTTTATTCTAGGGCTGGAGAGATGGCTCAGTGGTTAAGAGCGCTGACTGCTCTCACAGAGGAGCTACGAACCATCCTTAACTCCAGTTCCAGGGGAATCTGAAGCTCTTCTGACCTCCACAGCAATGCACGACATGGGTGCCCTCACACACATGCAGGCAATACACTCATACACATAAATAAAAATAATATTTTAAAATTTTATTCTATTTTTTATATATGTGTATGTATGTGTGTATGTATGTATGCATATATATGTTATATAAGCACATTCTGTGGGTGCCTTTGTAGGCCAGAAAAGGGTATCAGGTCCCCTGGAGCTGGAATTACAGACAGTTATGAACCTCCTAACACCAAATTTGGGTCTTATGTAAAAGCAACAAGTGCTCTTAAATACTGAGTCCATTTCTCGAACTCCCTATCATTAAGTGAAGAAAGTTCTTAAGAAAAATCTAAATGCAGGGCTGGAGAGAACTCAGTGACTAAGAGAGCGTCCTGCTGTTACTAGAGTTTAGTTCCTAGTATCCACATTGGGCAGCTTACAATTACCTGTAACTCCAGGGGATCTGATGCCCTCGTATGGCCTTCATGGACACCTGCACATACATGTGAATGCACATAAACATACACAGTGAAGGGGGTAAAAAAAAAAAGAGCTGGGTGTGGTGGAACATGCCTTTAATCCTGAGGCAGGCACTCAGAGGCAGGCAGATCTCGGTGAGTTCCAGATCAGTCTGGGCTACATAGTGAGTTCCAGCCAGCTGAGGCTACAGGTAGATCCTGTCTCAAAAAATAAATTAAGAAAAATATACTTTAAATCACAAGGGAAAAAAGAATCAATTTGTAATCCAATACTTAAGAAATAATCAGTAAATCAGACAAAAGATACCCATTGAGCAAGAAGTAAGGTTACTAGGTCATCCAGATTCTCCATGCTAACATCCCACTGAATGGATTTTCAAAGTGCCTTGGTAATACAGCATTTACCCAGCCTGTTTGAATACTTGGGTCTATCTCCAGCTATGCGAAGAAAAAAAACACAATAAATACTGATGCCTGGCTACAGATACCTTTATAAATGTCTCCATCTTCCCAATAATGTGCTTTAGGGCTCACAGCCTGAATGTCTAATGCACACTTACACAACTGACACCTGTCTCACCTACTTCTTATCCACACATGCCCAGTCTGTTTGAAGCACCCTTGGTTTACAGGCAGTGCCCCCATCCCAGCCTTCATCACCCAGAACCCAGAGGATACGGGGCAATCCGATCCCATTTGACATTGAGCATACCAGAAACAATGCCAAAGTCTTCTGGAGGAAAGGAATCATCTGATAATTCCACATCTAATGCAGCACTAGAAAGCAGAGGAAAAAAGAAAAGCAATTAACCAGCAAGTCTGCCTGCTTGTCCTGAAAAGTCAGAATTCAAAATAAAGTCCCATGATAACTTGAGTCTGTTGCATTGAAGAATCCAGATCAAGGGGTTGAAGAAATGGCTCAGTGATTAAGAGCACTGGTTACTCCTGCAGAGGACCTGGGCTCAGTTCCCAACACCTACATGGTAACTAAAAGACATTTGTAACTCCAGTTCCAAGGGATACAATATCCTCTTCTGGCATCCATGGGCAATGAATTCGTGCACAGGTGCACTTACATACACGCAGGCAAAACACTCATACACTTAAAATAAAAATGAATAGATTAAAATTTAAAAAAAAAAAAAGAAAAAAAAGAATCCAGGTCAAGGCCTGGATTCCATTGCTCAGAAACACCAAAATAAGTATCTAGAAGAAAAGGTGCCCACGCCAGTCCTGCACCAAGTTCTGTGGGGGAGAAGTAAGATGAATATATGGAAGAGCAAATCAAAATAAAATGAAAGAACAGTAGGAAGAAATGCTCATGGGTAAGAGAAGCAAGCTGCAACCCCAAAGCTTCTGAGGAAATAAACTGCCTGGGCCTGAATCTTCTCTCTTCACATCCTTCTCACGTCGTAAGTCTTGCTTCTTCCCTGCTCTGAAACCTCCAGCCCCACAATCAAGATTGTTTCTTTTTTTTTAATTTTTGAGACAGGGTCTCCCTGTAGCCCCTGCTGACCTGGAACTCATTATGTAGACCAGGCTGGCCCTTGAACTCACAGAGATTCGCCTGCCTCTGCCTCCCCAGTGTTGAGATTAAAGGCATAAACCACCACACAGGACTGATTGTTTCTTGTAGCTTAGGTCAGAATCCTACTATTTTCAAAAGTACCCCCATCAAAAAAAAAAAAAAAAGCCCAGCAGGCACCTGATGGTGGAGGTCTCCAAAGAGAATTCACTCCCCACAGGGATGTTCTCTATGCCATCTGAAGACTCAGATGAAAAATAGACTGCTAGGGCCAGAGTGCCCTTACCTGGAGCCCACATTGTAGATGTTATACTGCAAGGTCAGGTCTCGGCCTTCTACAGCATATCTGTTCAGCAGTGATTTGGAGGCCAAAAGCCTGGCTCCTTCTTCTGCCTGAGTGACAGCTAAGAGAGCCAACACCACAAATGCCAGCAGCTTCATCTTTGGAGAAAAAAGCAAAGAGGGAAATCAATCTACGTATGAAAAACCACCAAATTTCTGACAGAGCCTCTTGCATGCTAGGCAAGATCTCCACCACTGACCTACATCCCAGCCCGACAGGGCTTCTTTTTGAGACAGGGTCTCCCTGCAGCCCCAGATGATCAGATAAAGCAGGCTGGCCCTGAACTCACAGAGACTCGCCGGTCTTTACCTCCAGAGTGTGGGATTAAACGCTTGCGTGCGCCACCACACCCGGCCTAACAGCTTTCTTTTGATGCTATCTAAGCAGCAGCCCCTTCTACAACACAGTGCACAAGCCACAAAGCTGGCTGACCCACACTCTAAACGCTCCATCAGAAGCTCTGGGAAGCGGATCCATGCGATAGCATTATCCACTGCCCCCTTTTAGTCGGGCTCCCGCGTGCCCACCACCTGGTGAGGCCACTGCAGGGCTTTCCTTGAATACCGGCTTTCTGACCATGTCCGCCCTGCAGCGGCCTCTGTCTAGCTTCCACCCCCACACGGGTCCCCAGGATCGAAGCCTTCCCGGGGTCTCCTCCTTCAGCTCCAGTGGCATCCCAGCCCCCGCACGCGGGGTCCTCTCCACGTCCCTCCCGTCCCACTCGGCCTCGGCCCCACATCTTTCTGGGAAGTTGGTCTCAGCCCACTCCGGCCCGCCAGAAACAGCAGCTGAGCAATGTGACCGCCCACCTCGACCCACCCGTCTCGGGACTCACCGTGCTAATCCTAAACGCCTTTAGGGACGACACATAACCGGAAGAGAGCGTCAGCGTCCAAAAGACCGGAAAAGGCTCTGGCCGGAAGCCTTAGTATTTTACCCAGTGCCTTGTGGAAGTTGTAGTTCTCGAACATGCCCCACCTTTCCCTTTGTGATGGCCGCCGCCTTAGAGGAGTCAGCGTCCACCATCCATTATTTTGTCCTCATAAGTGGATTTCCAAGCTGGTCTGTCACTACTATACTTAACTAGCATTTCTTTTCTTTTTTCCCTTTGGTCTTTTTGAGACAGGGTCTCCCTGTGGCCCCAGCTGGCCTGGCACTAATGTAGACCAGGCTGCCTCGAACTCACAGAGATCCACCTGCCTCTACCTCCCAAGTTCTGGGACTAAAGGCGTGCGCCACCACGCCCTGCTCACTTGTTCTTTTTTTAAAGAACAAACAAACAAAACAAAACAGGGGGCTGGAGAGATGGCTCGGCGGTTAAGAACACTGGTTGTTCTTGCAGAAAAACCGGGTTCAAATCCCAGCACCCACATGGCAGCTAACAACTGTCTGTAACTCCAGTCCCTGGGGATCCGACAGCCTCTTCAGACCTCCGCGGGCATTGCACGACACGGATGCACTTACCTACATGCAGGCAGTACACGCATACACATAAAATAAAAATAGTAAATAAAAAAAATTTTTTTTAAAGATTTAGCATTTGTAGGAGGGGTGTGTGTGCTGGTGTCAAACATGGGTGTGCTAAGTAAGCACCAGCTCTACCTCTGAGCTACACCCCCAGCCCAGAGCGATGTATAAAGTACTGGAATCATCCCAGTGAGAGATATAAAGATTGAAGATGGTATCTGTCCTCAAGGAATTTAGAACCCATCAGCCAGGAGGAGAGCGTAGAGTACTACTGCTCTCCTTGAAAACAACAGCAACAGGGGGCTGGAGAGATGGCTCAGCGGTTGATAGCACTGACTGCTCTTACGGAGGACCCAGGTTCCATTCCCAGCACCCACATGGCGGCTAGGAACCGTCCTTAACTCCAGTTCCAGGGGACTCAGAAGCCCTCTTCTGACCTCTGCAGCATTGCACAACACGGGTTCACTCACATACATGCAGGCAATACAATCATACACATAAAATAAAAATAATAAAATATAATGAAAAATCTGCTTTAAAAAAAGAAAAGAAAAGAATAGCAACAGACCACAGTGGCTTTCCTTTGTCGATGAACACAATCTAATTCCTTCCTGCCGTAATTAGGCCCCTGCATTGTGTTCTCTGCTCCCACTACTTCAGTAGACAGACCACTTCAGTCTTGCCCACTTTCTTACTCTCAGATCTTTTTTAATTTTAATATTGCGTGTGTGTGTGTGTGTGTGTGTGTGTGTGTGTGTGTCTTTTTTGACACAGGGTCTCCTCATAGCCCCAGCTGTCCTGGAACTCACTATGTAGACCAGGCTGGCCTCGAACTCACAAAGATCCACTTGCCTCTGCCTCCCAAGTGCTGGAATTAAAGACGTGCACCACCATGCCCCACTTAATTTTAATTTTTAAAAATTTTATGTGTATTAGTTTATTGCCTGCAGGTATGTAAGTGCACCCTTGTCTGCAATACCCTCGGAGGTCAGAAGACGGCATTAGATTCCCTGGAACTGGAGTTACAGATGGTTGTTAACTACAATCTGGGTGCTAACAGTGGAACCCTGGCCCACTGCAAGAACAGCCAGTGCTCTTAACTTCTGAGCCATCTCTCCAGCCACACAGATCTTTTTTAAAAAATGTACTTTTTAAAGCTGGGCATGGTGGCCCACGCCTTTAATCCCAGCACTTGGGAGGCAGAGGCAGGTGGATCTTTGTGAGTTCCAGGCCAGCCTGGTCTACATAGTGAGTTCCAGGACAGCTGGGGGGCTACAGGGAGACCCTATCTCAAAAAGACAAAAAAAAAAAAGTACTGATTTTTATTTCATGCATATTAATGTTTTGCCTGCACATATGTAAGTGTACCACATGCATACAATGCCCACAGAGGCCAGAAAGGGGTGTCAGATCCCTTGGAACTGGTTATGGATGGTTGTTAGCCACCATGTGGGTGCTGGGAAATGAACCCAGGTCCTCTGCAAGAGCAGCCAACTCTTTGAGACCAGGCTGGCCTCAAACTCACAGAGATCCACCTGCCTCTGCCTCGTGAGTGCTGGGATTAAAGGGGTGCGTCACCACGCCCAGCTAAGAGCAGCCAACTCTTAACCATCATCTATCGAGCCCCTTACTCTCAGATTTTTGATTAGTGCAAGTTACTGAATGTAAAAAAATAAATCTTGGGCCAGTGAGATGACTAGACAGGTGAAGGCACTTACTGCTGAGCCTGAGGATCTGAGTTCCATCCCCAGAGCCTACATGGTGGAAGGAGAGAACCAACTCTAGCAAGTTAGTTTCTAGATAAACAAATAGGCATGAGGTGTACTCCTTGACTTAGAAATTTCTGTTGGGAAAGACACAAACAGGACCCTAACACTGTCCCCATATGATTGTGATCTGACAAATCTGCATGTGGTTCCTCAGCCTATGAAGTTCCCCCTCCCCCCCTTAGGGGAGGGGCATTTAAAAGGTTGTTTAGTTTTTATTTTCAGTTTTTTGAGACAAGGTCTCTTGTAACCCAAGCTGGCCTGGAACTCTATAATATAGCTGAGTCTGGCCTTGATTTCTTGAACCTCCTGCTTCCACTTCCCAACGTATGCCTCATGGTAGGAGATTCTGAGTCTGCAAGTCACAGGGAGTCCCTCCTTCCCCCTTCACATCAACTCCTAACTCATTAAGGGGAAAAGAAGCTGCACTCCCTTTTTGAGGGCTAAGAAGCCTACACAGTAGGAGTGTGCAGTGTGAAGGACTTCTGAACTCCCTGTTCCTCTCCACCTTCATTTCTGCTTAGAAAGAGCCATGTTAGGGTAAGTGATCATCATCATCTTTGTGCTTTGAAAGATGGTCATCTCTGTGAGCCATAATGCAACTTGCTGGTCTGTTTGTAGGCACCAAACTCTCAAGAAGGAATAGCTTGGGGCGGAGAGAAGGCTCAACAGTTAAGAGTACTGACTGCTCTTGAAGAGGACCTGGGTTCGATTCCCAGCACCCACATGGTGGCTCACAGCCATCTGTCATTCCAGTTCCAGGGGAATTGGACACCCTCTTCCGACCTCTGTGGGCATTGCACAACACAGGTGCACTTACATACATGCAGGCAATTCACTCATACAAATAAAATAAAAATGATAGAATGTTTTTGAAAAACAAAAAAAGAAGCTGGGCATGGTGGCTCACGCCTTTAATCCCAGCACTCTGGAGGCAGAGGCAGATGGATCTCTCTGAGTTTGAGGCCAGCCTGGTCTACATAGGGAAGCCAGGTCAGCTATGGCTACAGGGAGACCCTATCTCAAAAAGAGAAAAAACAAACAAACAAAAAAAAAACCCAAAAACAAAAAATTGAAAAAATAATAGCTTGATTCAGTGTGAGGCTTCCGAGGGAAAAGCTAAAACTGGTGATCTCCCCCACCTCACCAAGAGGAGAAGGTAGCAGGAAGAGGCAGAACACCAGATATAAGCAGTAGGATGTGGGTATAAATGTGACAGGACTGATTAGGGAAATGGCTCATGTGATTGCTGCAGCTGAGAAGTCCTATGACAGGCTATCAGGAGTGTAGCCTAGTTCAAATCCCAAGTAACACCGAAAGCCTGAAAACTCCAGATCCAAATGGTGGAGAACCTGGAGGTTTTTCTCTTCTTTCTTTTTTTCTTCCTTCCTCCTCTTTTTTTTTGTTTGTTTTTAGACAAAGTCTTATGCGTAGTATAAGCTGGCTAGAATGCTCTCTATATGGCCTAGCCTAGCTGCAAACTCATGTCAATTCTCCTGCCTCAGCTTCCCATTTGCTGAGATTAGTCCTGAGCCTCCAAACCCAGTGAAAACCTAAAATTCTGATGCCCAAGGTGGCAGAAAAGGTCTATCCCAGTTCTCTTGGAATGAGAGCAATTATCATTTGCTCTTTCCAGAGTGGGCTGGGTGGCACCCATATGGAGCTCTCTCCATCTTGCCCCTGAGACTCATATCCTTATCTTTGGAAAGAAACCTAAATGATGCTTTTTCCATATATTCCTTAATCCAGTCAACTTGGCATCTAAGATTAAACATCACAATATAAGGGAAAGCGAAGAGTCCTTTTGCAAAAATGAAGAGACTTCCAGGTCCAGGCTGGCTTTAGCAGGCATCTTTAGGAGAAAGGAACAGGGATCTATCCTACTTTCAGGCCAGAAGCCTGTGTATGAAAGTACAACTACTACTGCAGTTGCTCTCCCTCAGATGAAGTATCCCCCCTACCCTGCCAGAAACCAGAGAAGGGGGGAGGGCAGTGTTGGTGGCAAGCTCCTACCCTATGCTCTCACACACTCTACAACCAAGACCTGTACTGCTGCTGGCCTGGCAACAGACAAGATTGGCTGGAAATGTTATCTGATATACAACAGGTGCTCAGTAAATGCCCTGTTTTTTTTTTTTTAAAAAAAACTGTATGTACATAAAGTATACAAGTTGATAAACTTCAACATATGTACTCATGGGACCATCACCACAATGCAGATAATAAACATATGTATCGGGGCTGGAGAGATGGCTCACCCTAGTCTACAACTGCTATGTAGACCAGGCTGGCCTTGATCTCACAGAGATCTGCCTACCTGAGCCTCCTGAGTGTTGAGATTAAAGGTGTGTGCCACCATATCTAAATTATTTTATTTATTTTATTTTTTTATCTTTTTTTGAGACACGGTCTCCCTGTAGCCCCAGCTAGCCTGGAACTCACTCTGCAGTCCAGGCTGACCTTGAACTCAGAGCTCCACCTGCCTCTGCCTCCTGAGTGCTGGGATTAAAGGCATGCATTCCCACACTTAGCTAGCTTGTTTTGCTTTTTAATTGAAATTTTTATTATGGGAAAGGTACATATGCCACAGCATGCTTGTGGACATCAGAGGACAACTTTGTGGAGTCAATTCTCTTCTTCTCTCTTTATGAGTTCCAGGGATAGAACTCAAGTTGTCAGGTTTGGAGGGCAAGCACCTTTACCCACTGAGCCATCTTTATGGCCCC